AGTTAAACATTAAAAAAAACCTTTTAAATAAATAGGTTTTCAGTTTGACTTTGAACAGAACCAGATCAGAGATGTCACGCAGCTCGGCTGTTGGGTCTGCAACAGAAAAGGACCGGACACTCCAATGTTTGCACCTTGAGCAAGGCACCTCCAGCAGATATTGACCAAATATTTGAAATAAGTACTTGCTTTTAAAAATACTTAAAGTATTAAATGTAAAAGTACTTGCTGAATGTATTACCTAATGCAATGGTCTACAATATCATTGTGTGCCTATATGTATGTATATTTTCTAACAGTGTTGAGTCATTTTAATAATGTTAAAATCAGGTCTCTCTTGTAAATGAGTCCTCGAGGCTCAATGGGATTAACCTGTTTAAATAAAGGTTGAATGAATGCTGCAGATAATACTTGTTTTTATTGTGTTTACTCTGTGACACAGTTCACACTTGGACGTGATTCTGTGCGTCAGAATTTCAGGGATGACCTGCAGAGTTAAATGTCATTAAGCAAAATAAGAAAGAGGAATGATTATACCTTTGAAAGTTTTTGTTTAACACAAATCAAAACCAATGTGTCATTTTAACTGCAGTAAACACGTTTAAGTAAAAGTTGTCTGCCTGAAAAAAAGGAGCATTAGACACAACTAACAAAAGAATATCTGATCATTTCAACTCCAGTTTGTCATCAAATACTGTCTAGTCAAACTTGTAATGAATCAATATTGAACAATATTTTAACTTCCTGACACCATTTTCAAAACTTGGACCCGAGTGTTGAGACATTTGGAGACATCTCTTGTCTCCTAACATCCCATGAACTGACACGTTTTAATATTGCAGCAAGAATTTATTGTTCAAGTTCAGAAGAAGTTGGTTTTCAAAGTTTTTTGAGTCCAGTCTGTCGGGAGAGAGAATCTGTCCTGCTGCACTGAACAGTCTTTCAATAGTCTTTCAATAGTCTTTCAATAATCTTTCAATAATCTTTCAATAAGGACATGGGTGTTGTGTATCTTCTGGCTGACTGTCTGCAGTGGAATCCATTTTGGGTGTGTTAGCGGTGCTGTGGGAGCGCCCAGCTCAATGATGTATATACTAGAATATACGTCACTTGTCCAGCTCTCCTTGAAGGCAGGTGTAACGTTACCTGCCCACTTTGCAGTGATTCAATGCACCAACTCCCCTCTCACCACTGGTTACTTTCAAACTAACGAGCAAATCAAAAAACTGCAATGTCAATGTAACATGTAACGCAAAGTATTATAGAAATGTAGTGTAGTAGAAAATACAGATACTTGATGTAAAATGTAGTGGAGTAAAAGTAGAAAGCACCCACGTTTAACTCTACTTAAGTAAAGTACAGATACATGTAAATGTACTTAAGTACAGTAACAAAGTACTTGTACTTAGTTGCATCCCACCACTGCGCAAAACATTCACGGATCAACACTCCAGACAAGTTGGAGGCAAGCTTGAGGGTGGTTCATCTTACAAAAAAAGGAGAAATAAATATTAAACAAATGTTAAAATTTAAAATTGGATAACAGATTTTACAGTTCCAGCTAAATTGAGAGAGAAGTCTGCACGTTAGGGGTCTCTTAAATAATCCTGTAAGCAGAGACCAGTGAGGTGGGACACGTTCAAGCCCATCGCACGTCATGGTGTCTGTGGGTTTGTACGTCAAAGAGGAATAAAGCATGTTAACTTGCTCCATAGCAGGGGGAGGAGTTCTAAAGAAACTTTCATACAAAACTGCTGTCAGAGCACAGATAAAGACACAATCAGGAGTTTGTGTGTGCGTTCCCAGGCACCAGTAGGCCGTCAGGTGGTCCTCCATGCTCTCCAATCACTGGCCCACTAACCTCCCCGATGCCATTGTGCAAAAAAGAGAAGCCGCATGACTGAAGTAACAAAAGATGAGACGTTGATCTTCTGAGACAAGCTCTGCTCTCAGCATACTGTGCTGTGGGCCTAAAGGAAACCAGCAGATCCTCTTGAGTGGTCTAAGCTTTGCCTTTAAACGCAGTTGTGGTTAATCTGCAGCATCAGAACGAGTAACAAGCAGGATTTTGCATCGCAAAGGTCCAAGACGGCTCTGTTAAAGGCCTGAAGCTTTATAAATCCTTTTTTTTTTTAATAAAGTAATTCAGGAAACTGGAATATAAATCTCTGAGGCCAAATTACATGTTAAACTGAAATATTTGAGCACGTAATAGTCCCTAACTTGAAGTGAAGCCCATCCACAGCACTGACAGGTGTAGGATTTCTACTGTACCCTTGAGCATGGCGCTTCAACGCACTCATCGTGGCTTAATTCAATTGCTCCAATTAAACGTTCCAGCTGCATAAACACATTACAGAGCGGGTGAAATCTAAAACAGCATGCATCTTTAATGCTCCCTGGATAACACTGTCTGCTGCAGGGGCAATAAATCATTTTGCGCTGTAATGTAATGATTTAAGAGCTCAGTGTTTGTGACTCTGTCAAGTGGCACCCCGCTGGGACGAGGCGTCGTGCTCTTTAAGTGTCCATTACCGTTAAAGTCCACTTTCCCAAATGGCTGAATGGAAGGTCCCATTTGGGGTGGCTGGCCTCAGCTGTGACAGCCTGAATCAGTGGTAAAGGCCTGGACTTTTACACCTGTGTGTGACACAGACGGGGTGGGGGTCAGGAGCGTGTGGGAGAGACACCCAGCCGTGCTCTCTGGTGGCGGCTCTGGGAATTGCCTGGAGAACATCAAAGACAATTTTCCACTCTTTTTGAACCAATGCAAACTTTTGGACGTGATGATTTATGTGTCTTTCACAAACTGTTGACTTGGAAACCATTTTCAGTGCGGATCAAAACATGTGGATGTAAATAAAAAATAAAATGAAAACAAGCCCAAATCAGAAAAAAATTAGTGACATTCTAACACACATAAAAAATTTTTAAAAAATCAGCAAAGATTATTACACGACTATGAGCATAGACCTGGAGTACAGTAGACACTCGCTACTTCGCGATTCGTTTATCGCGGACTCTCGTGGTTTGTCAAAATAAGACATGACACAACTGGCTGATTGATGGATGAGCCGCACGATCGGCATGGAATTTTTACTTAAAATAAATTATTTTAAAAATATTTAGCACCTCCTGCAGCTTTGTGCAGCCCACACTGCAGGACAAACTTCCTGAAGCAGCTGATCAGCTGTTCACCTTGCAGAGCAGAGAAGTGGGCGTGGCCAAGAGTTCTTGCAGGTAGCAAAGAGCAGAAGAGACAGGGAGCTGAAATCATGACATTCTGTGTCTTTTAGAGAGTTTAGAAACATTGTTTAGGATGGACTTGCGACCCTTCCAGGGTGTACCCCGCCCCTCGCACAGTGATTGCTGGACATGTGCACCAGCGACCCCCGTGACCCAAAATGGAATAAGTGGGTAAAGATAATGGATGGATGAAACATTGTTTAGAATATTGCAAAAGTGTGGGAAG